GCTCCTATCACCTGCAGTGGCTTTCAACTGCCTTCAACCCGCTTGAAAGCTGGAGCTGGAGCCCCACACACTGGGGCAGGAGCTACCCAGCTACAGCTTTCCCCCCCATCTGGCTGAGCATGCGGTGCCCGGTGCAAGTCCCCATGGCTGCTACCACTGCTTCCCCATGCTATCTGCTGCCCAGAGAGATGCACAAGGGGCAGGAGGAGGAGCCGCTGGAGGTGGGGGGAGCTGAGCAGTACCCAGGCGGCTGCAGCTGCACAGGGAGCAGTCCCGCTATAAAGTTGTACGCACTGGCTGGGGCCATTGGTGGGTGTGGGAGGAAGTGCAGCATGAGCTGCCCCGAGTGGGAGCAGGCTGGGCTTAGCCCCACGCAGAGCGCTGCAGAAGCAGCCACAGGCCAGATACGAGGGAGCGGACTGTACCTGCACCCCGCTGCCTGGGTGAGCTCTGCTGCACGCACCTACTGCTCCCCACTCCCCTCACTCCCAACTGACTCCCAGGATCTAACGTGTGGGCAGCTGCCCACATGTGTGCACATCCACTCCACCCCTCCCCCACAAACCCCACCCTCCATATACCCCACTTCCCCACACAATATACAAGAGTAAGACTCTATTTTGAGCTATTATAAAATTGTCCCTATATATACTACCCCCAAAAACATGAATTGGGACATGTTTTTTGAAATTTAAAATAAAAATATGGTTGATGTTTGAGTTTTTTTTTTTAGTATGTGATTTGCTTTTTACTTATAATTTGTTAAAATGATATCTTCTGAAAGATTTTGTGTGTGCGGCCCTTCACAGTTCACCAAAACTCGTTAAGTGGCCTGCCTGCTGAAATAATTGCCCACCCCTGCACTAGGACATTGCTCAGAAGATCGCAGGCTGTGGCTAGTCCCTAGTTTCTGGACTGTCCTGTAATGATAAACATTTTATACTTTTGTTTAAAGTTAAATAGTTAGTCTCTGGGGGAGTATTGTAGTGCAGTAGTGAATATTTTATATTTGTGTCCCATTTGGTGCTAGGGCCTGTCACACAAACCTGTGAATTAAAGATTTATGCCATGTGATACTAGCTTGAGGGATTGGTTGATGTCTGAAACTTGCTTTCTTGTTGCATAGTCACTCTCATTTCAGGTGCATTTCAGTCCTGAGCTAATGCTACATCCTCAATATAGAGAAAAAAAAGTTGAGTAATATTGAGACGCTCCTAATTTTCTGTCCTTTGTTCCTAGGCACACAGTCCCTGCAGCATTGTGGAAGGATGCTCAAGGAAAGGACCAGCCATGGTATGAGGATGTTTTGGGTTCCAACTATCCTATAATCCTTTACTTGCATGGAAATGCAGGAACCAGGTGAGGAATAAAGGAAAAGGCATCAGTTACAAACAGGGATAGCAACTGTTAAGTTCTATGCACTGTCTTGTTTACAGTGGATTGGATAACTGGATAAAACAGTGCAAAACCAGTTTAGCATTGCTGCTGTTTTCACAAAACAAAGCTTGCTTTTGATTGAAACATTGTGGGCAATGGACGATTGTCTTGCTTTGGGATCATTTAGTCAGGAATGATCCTGCCTTGAGTAGGGTGCTGGACTAGGAGACCTTACGAGGTTGCTTCCAGCCCT